GACATTTATAAATGTATGAATCACATGGTGAAAATTGACTTTGAAAAATAAATCTGTTCTTTTTTTCTTATAAAAGGCTAAATGAAACAATGGTGGTAATTTGTGTAACTTTACAAACGGCACCTCATACATCTGCAGCTGAATAACCTTTGGTGTCAAACTGATTTAAGATAATCAACGTGAGCAAACAGATAAATGTGTCTTTGGTAGCTGAGAGTCATTCCCAACACATGCTTCGAGCACTAACAGAGCTCATGAGATAAAACATCTGCAACTCCATTGTTTCTCTTTAAAAACATGATAAAATTAGTCTAAAGCTTGGTATGAACGGTGATATTTAATAGATTTAAACTCTTCTCTAAACTCTTCCTGTCTTGTGTTGACAGAAATTCCCAATAAATCATGTTTGTCACATTAAAGTCACCTGAGTTTCAGGATGACAGACTTTCGTCATCACCTCACCAAGTCATGACATGTCTGAACTTATTATCCCATCTTCACGTTACATAAACAAACCTGACAGGAAAACCCGCTCCTATTGGCTCAAACACAAGTCAATCACACAAAGCATTGCGTCACTCTCACAGACGCTGAGCTGTGATTGGTGTAAATCCAGCTACGGTGCCGCCTTCTTGGTTGTGATTGGCCGAACCTGAACATTGCCGAACATGGTAAAGAAGATTTCGCAATCGGCTGTACTCCATGTTCCAAACAAAAACACACTCCGACCGCCGACAGACGGAATAAAACTCCGACTTTTCACCTCGACGTCCTCTACGTCCACAGACGGGTGACTCCGCTGCCGCTTTCTGAAGGTAAATACAGCTTCCGGCTTCACGGCTCCGAAATACACACCGAGCAACAGAGACTGACAGGTCTCGTTAGCATCAGAGGCTAATGAGCTAGCTGGCTGAACGGTGGAGCTGATATGGAACCTGTGTGAATGTCACAGCTTTTCTTCTAAAAGTAGTTTCACTCCCACCATGGTTTATGTTCAGAACAATGTAGGGAAAAGTTGGTGAGTTGGACCGAATCAGCTGCTTGGAGTGGGTACGAGTGGACGAAGAAGTGCCGGGAACCCCTACCCCCTCAAAAAACAAACAAACAAACAAACAAACATAAAAATAAAAATCTAAACGACGTGTTCGGATGAGTGAATCGATTTGTTTGATGTTTGTTAAAAGTCGCTTTATTTTTTCTTAAAAGCCGAGGCTTGTGCTTTAGCCCCGCATGACTCCGGAGTTCCCCGCCGCCGCTGATGATGCAACAGCGGGCAACAACAGCTCGGTGTTTTCACCCGGAGCGCTTTCCGCTGCGCACAGCTGAGCCGCGGCATAGCAACGCGCCGGCCAATCAGAGCGCGACGCGGCGCGGTCACGTGACCCTGAATAACACGGCAGCGACGGTAGAAAGAAGCAGGGCCTCTGCAGCTGCTCACCTGTAGACAGGTGAGCACAGCTCAGGTTTTAGAACAACACAAGTTAAATAAATAAATAAATAAATAAATAAATAAATAACAATGTTTGCATCATGAAGCTCGGGTGCAGCAGTGGTACACTCTTTTGGCAAAATTAAACAAAATCTGTTCAACAGAAATTATGAAACAGTTTTTATTTGCAATAAAATAAAAAATAAAAAATCAGACTATGCAGCTCTGCTCAGGTGCTTTACAGCTGTTTTTTTTTCTCTTAATGAAAAACGGACAAGATACGTTAATTAACATTTATTTTAATGACTTCACTGTCTGTTGTGCAGACTCTTATCATATTAAAAGCTGTACAGAGTGTTTAAATAAAATCTGAAGGTTGAAAACTGCTTCAGGACAAAATAACACAATATTAGGGTTGGGCAATATTGGCGAAAAAATTAATCACGATTAATTGTGGTATTTAGCCGATAAGGATTAATTTGACGATTAATCCCCTGGAGTCCCTTATGTCCTGGTCACATGACCAATTTAGTGGGAAAGATTTGCTCTTTATAAAAACCTGTTCCAAACTGTGTCAAAATTACAGACTTCAGGCTGTACATCTAATTTTAAATTGTGTTGATATATAAATAAATTACAGAACTTTATTTTAATGTTTGTCATATTTGAAGCAGAGAGGAGCAGCAAGCGGACTGACTGGTGGCGTTAATCGTATTAATCGTCAAATGCGAAAAAGTAATAGATTAGTGTTTTTCTGATGATTAATTGCACATGACACGATTATGCCCAACTCTACACAATATACAGCAGAAATGGACGTTTTAGGCAAAAACACTACACAGATTTGTTGGTACTTATTCAAATATGCTCTAAATATTCAACCCACCTCTGGTCAACATCTGTAAACCCATAATTTATTGACACTGCAACACTGTAAACATGTTGCTTTAACTAAGAAACTAAACCTTTCTTAGTAAAAATCTTTAGACTTATGATGATTTTAGTTTTGTAATATTTCACCATCTCTTACAGATAACCGAGTACCGACACTTTTATGAATAGTTGTTGGTATGATGACATTTTACAAGTGCTAGTATTGAGTAGAGGAGAGTTATGTCGCAATCTATGCAGTAAATACTAATTTTATAATCAAATGTAATTGAAAAAATGAAGAAATGTAGATCTGTGGAGTTTTATTTTGGATTAATTACATGTGAACAGAATAAAGAAGAAATAAAACTTGTAAGCTACCTTTCAAAACAGGAATATTTGTTTTACGTCACCCAGTCTTTCACACCAACAGAGTTAAAGTAACGACTTTCTACTTCTTTACTTTTTAAAAAAATGTAAGGAGTAGAAGTAAAAAGTTGGCTGAAAAATAATTACTCAAGTAAAGTACAGATACCCAAAAATTCTATTTAAATACAGTAAAGTATTTGTACTTATTACTTTAAAACTCTGCTGTCTTGTTACCACTACAACACACAGACTCTGGTCCCAAAAACTGAACCAGCAGCTCCTGTAAACTGGGACCAGCAGGCCAACGAGAGACGATGGAGGAGTTTCCTGAGTCCATTCAGGGATGAGTTTTTAGACCTGAAACCTTGGTGCTCCTGATGACTGGAGAGTTTTTAGACAACTGGGTTGTGTCACAGTCAAGGAGGTTCTTTAAAACAGCTGGACTGAGCAAGGACCAGGTGACCATGTGATCAGCTGGAGAAGCTAACGGCTAGCGCTAAACGGACAAGACTGGATTTATCATCACTGTACATGTTGACAACAGAGCAGAAAAAAAGGACTGACGATGTAAAAATCATAAAAACTATTAATAATAATATTAACACAATTAATATTTTACAGTTTATATAATCTATCTAATGTTTTAAATAATGTCAGAAAAGCTGTTTGTGTTATGGATTTATT